CGCACTCTTAAAAAGATTGGGTATTCTAAAGGAGACCTATGTCGCTCAAATGTTGTCATTCATGGCTTTAACCAAGCTGGTCAAGAAGCATTGGGTACCATATCTCTGGTTCTAAAGTTTGAAAATCTTATGACATATGTATACTTCCATGTCATTGATGCGGCTACCTCATATAATGTTCTTATCGGTCGCCCATGGCTGCATGAAAATGGAGTTGTTCCATCTACTCTCCATCAATGCATCAAGTATAAAGATCCTTCAGGGAGCGTAATAAGGATTTTTGCTGATAAAAAACCATTCACTATAGCAGAATCCTTTTATGCTGATGCAAAGTTTTATTTTGAGCCTATTGATAAAGTCTCAAAACCAAAATCATCATTGCCGTCGGAACAAAATATCCCAAAGATAGAAGATGTCAAGTCTTCATCCAGCCAAAAGATATACCAATACATACCAAGCTATCAAAGGAAGGAAGGCGATCCGATATTTCGCATCATAAGTAAACCCTCTCAAAATAGAGGTATTTCATTTCCAACTCCTTTACCTCCTTTGGTGCAAAATAAAATAAAACAAGCCCAAATTGAAAGGGATAATAAGAGTAAATTGGTTACACAGGTCACTTTGTTAAATAAAGATGATAAAACATTACCCATCTCTTTATATGACAACAAAGTTCTTTATATTATGCAACAGATGGGCTATGATATTTCTATCGGTCCTTCTTTATGCGATGGCCGGGGGCAGCTCGCACCATTTGAAAAGTTGATGTCTCAGGCTCAGCTTGAAGCCTTGCACCAAGATCAAGCATTAAAAGAAGAGAAATATGGGTTAGGCTATGAAGTTAATATGACCTCTGCTGAACCTCTTGATGCTACAGAAGCATCTCCACAAATGGAAGATGGAAATCAACCAAGCTGTTGATGAGTTGGAAGAAATTAATATCGGCACGAGACGACGATCCTCGGCCAATCTTCATTAGTAAATATCTATCTAAAGAAAGTAAGGAAGAATACCGTAAATTTCTTTCTACAAATAGAGATGTCTTTGCTTGGTCTTATGAAGAAATGCCAGGTCTAGACCCAACAAGTGGTCGTGCATAAATTGGCCGATCGAAAAAGATGTTCCTCCGGTGAAGCAAGGACAAAGAAGATATCGTCCGAACTTCTCCCACAAATAGAAGCTGAAGTTGATAAACTCATAGCTGCTGGATTTATTCGAGAAGTGAAATACCCCAAATGGGTGTCTAGTATCGTGCCTTAAAAAAAGAAAAATGGGCAGATCCGTGTATGTGTGGATTTTAGAGATTTAAATAAAGCTTTGTCCAAAAGATGAGTTTCCAATTCCAATCTCTGAAATCCTTATTGATGCCACTATGGGATATGAAATATTCTCCTTCATGGATGGTTTCTCTGGTTACAACCAAATAAAAATGTCACTAGAAGATGAAGAGTTGATGACATTCCGTACACCCAAAGGCATATATTGTTATAAAGTGATGCCCTTCGGATTAAAAATGCAGCGCCATACGTATCAACGTGCAATGACCATTGTCCTTGATGGGTTGTTGTATGAAATCGTTGAGTGCTATATAGATGATATCGTTGTAAAATCTAAGCACGAGAAAGATCACTTAAAACATTTGGAAATGGTGTTTGACCGCCTTAGAAAACATAAATTAAAGATGAATCCTATGAAGTGCGCCTTGAGTATCTTGGGAAAATTCTTTGGTTTCATAGTCACCAAGCGTGGAATTGAAATTGACCCTACTAAAATAAAGACAATTGTCGACATGCCTCGACCAACAAACTTGCATGAATTAAAGAGCCTCCAAGGCCATTTAGCATACATTAGAAGGTTCATCTCAAACTGTGTCCGGGAGGTGCAAACCTTTTTCCCGACTCATGAAGAAAGGAGTCCCGTTTCAATGGGATCAAGCATGTCAAAATGCATTCGAGGACATAAAAAATATTTAACAAATCCTCCTGTCCTAGGCACGCCAATTAAAGGGCGACCATTAATCTCTATATACGGCAGCCATGCCGACTTCATTAGGGCGCTCTTTTGGCACAAACCAATGATGCGAGGAAAGAAGTCTCCCTATATTATTTAAGCCGCACCCTACTGAGGCAGAGTGCAATGCCGGATATAGAAAAAATATGCCTGGCACTTGTATTTGCAGCACAAAAGCTTCGCCATTACATGCTAGAACATACAATACATCTTGTCTCGAGAGCTGATCCACTCCGACATATCTTAAATAAAATGACATTATCTGGTAGATTGGCTAAGTGGGCAATGTTCCTTTCACAATTTGATATTGTGTTCGTGCCTCAAAAAGCTATTAAAGGTCAAGCTTTGGCTAATTTTCTAGCCGCACATCCCATACCTGATGACTTTCCCATTGATGATGATCTGCCAGATGAGGTAGTCTTCACCACTACGGTGTCTAAGCCTACATGGCAAATGTATTTTGATGGTGCTTGCCGGAAATCAGGAGCAGGCGCAGGGTCGTGTTTGTCACACCGGACGAAGCAATACTTCCATATTCCTTCACATTAACTTCAGCGGTTTCAAATAATGCTGCTGAATATGAGGCTCTAATTATTGGGCTTGAAATGGCTCACAATATGGGTTTAAACACACTCTATGTATATGGAGACTCCCAATTAATAATTAACCAATTGTTGGGAACATATGCGGTAAAAAAGCAATGGCTTTTGCCATATTTTGGAAGGCAAAAGAACTAATGGCTATGTTTGTTGATCTAAAAATTCAGCATGTTATGAGAAGCCAAATGAGAAAGCGGATGCATTGGCAAGCTTAGCTGCATGACATGTCACTAAATCCATATCAAACCGTGGATGTTCACGTGAGAGGAACGAAGAGTCCTCCCCATACTTACTCGAGGAAGAATACATACCATCTACTTCAGCCATGACTATAGATACGCATTTAAATTGAGATGGGTGATTGGAGAACACCTTTTCTCGATTATCTCCTTCATGGATATTTGCCCTAGATTCTAGTGAAAGGTCTAGGATTCAGAAAGAGATCTTTGAATTATACATGTATAAACGACACGCTCTATCGGCGTTCATGCGATGGCATTTTACTTATTTGCCTTTGCGTGCAACGAGGTAATCAAAGCTTTAAATGAAGTTCACTCCGAGTGTGTTGGGCGCACACCAATCTGGACCCAAGCTACACTACCAACTAAGACATTTGGGTTATTATTGGCCTACAATGTTTGATGATTCTATGAAATTTTGCGAAGAAATGCCATGAATGCCAAATACATGGTAATTTCATACATCAACCCCATGAACCATTACATCCGACTAATATGTCTTGGCCCTTTGAAATGTGGGGAATGGATGTAGTTGGGCCAATAAATCCCCGTCTTCTAAGGGACACAAATTCATTCTTGCTGCAACTGATTACTTCTCTAAGTGGGCAGAAGTTGTAGCACTAAAAGAAGTCAAAGCGGAAAATGTTGAAAACTTTATAAGAACCAATCTTATATATCGATTTGGGGTTCCAGCCCGAATGATATCCGATAATGGCACGTCTTTTAAAAATAGACAAATAGAGAAGATGTGTGCTAAATTCAGAATTAAGCATCACTTCTCCACAGGTTATAATCCGGCCGCTAATGGTCAAGCAGAAGCATTCAATAAAGTGCTATGCAAGTTGCTTAAAAAGATGGTCTCACAAAATAAGAGACACTGGCATGAAAAGTTACTCGAATCCTTGTGGGCATATAGGACCACGACTCGGACGCCAACGAAAATGACTCCTTACTCACTTGTGTATGGAGGAGAGGCGGTCCTGCCACTAGAGGTGCAAATTGCCTCCTTAAGAGTTGCTATCCAAGAAGAACTCAATGAAGATGAATCGGCAAAATTACGCCTAAGGGAACTAGACATCCTCGAAGAAAAACGTCTTCGTGCATTGCAAAACTTGGAGGCATACCAAGCTAGAATGTCCCGAGCTTTTGACAAGCGCGTAAGGAGGAGGTCGTTCAAAGAAGGGGATTTGGTTCTAGCGGTCATTCGGCCTATGAATATTACTCATCGAATGCAAAGCAAATTCGAGCCTAAATGGGAAGGTCCTTATATTGTGAAGGATGTCTACTCTAGTGGCACTTATAGAATCATATCCCCAGATGGCGAGTATTGCCCACCGCCAGTAAATGGAAAATTTCTAAAGCGTTACTATGCGTGAGGAAATATGCATATTACGCTCCATTGCTACAAGAGCCTAAACTGTTAGCACCCAAAAAAAACGCTCCTTCATGAGCCTAAACTGTAAAGAAGACGTACGCTCCATAGCTTCACGAGCCTAAACTGAAGCTGAAGTAAAAAAAAAGATTCATAACGCTCCATTGCTACAGGAGCCTAAACTGTTAGCACCCAAAAAAAAATGCTCCTTCATGAGCCTAACTGTAAAGAAGACATATGCTCAATTGCTTCATGAGCTTAAACTGTAGCATCAATTACAAAAAAAACAACAACAATGCTTCGTAGCTTTAAGAGCTTAAAGTGAAAGTAGAAAGATGCTCCTGCATGAGCCTAAACTGTAAGAAAAAAAAAATACTACATTGCAGCATGAGATAGTCTAAAGTGCCAGTTACAAAGTTTAATTTGTGGGCAGCATGCAATCCATGGGTTTCACTATATTCGGTTACAGGACATTGGTTTACCAACTATGTATAAAAAAGAAGAGACGGATAAACGTAACAGATCAATGAGCCCTTCCAATGCATTGGAAACAAATAAAGGTTCTGATGCACATCTGAATTAAATAAATAGTTCGGAAGTAAACCACTGATAATTACAAAGCCAAATGAAACATGACACATGTCCCATAAACTGAAGAAATAAATGTTCATAATTAACTATAGGAAATAAAATACTCAAAGTCTGACATAAAGCTTGACAAAGCGAATCGAATCAGCTGGATCCATCAGTTGACTTGGGAGAGGGTTTGGTTCAGATCAGTCAAAGCTTCTCAGCTTCCTGGATAGGAACCATCGTCTTTGCCCGGAGGTCATCATTGGCTCTCTTGTTTGCCTTTGTAGTGGCATCACACAGCGCTTGTTCTTGCTCCTTCACTTCTAATTCCTGGGCAGACTGAGTCTTCAATAGCTTTTCCTCCTTCTCCTCCAGTTCCTTCAAGGCAAGGTTAAACTTGGCAACTTCTGCTAAAAGCTCAGCTTTCCTCTCTTCAACTGAAATCATTTCTTGGGCGGTAGCTTGGAGAGCATTTTCTTAACTGAAAGCTCTTGTTTAACCTGGCCAACAGCTTGGTCTACTCGCCCAGAGCTTGCTTCAAATTCAGAGTGGGCAAGTTGCAATTGTTGGGAAATAGCAACCAGTTTGTCCAGCATAGCTTTGATCTTGGAAATGCTAGCAAAATTCCCAGGGAGACTAGTCGAAGTAAGTTGCAGGGCGGCACATCGCTCCGGGTCTTTCAATGTAGTAACATCCAGCCCGTTGAGAACCTTTAGTGACACCTGATATGCTGTTGCCAAGAAAATCTTCTCGATCTCAGTCGCGTCCATGCTTTGCGTATCCTTAGATAACGCTTGGCCGGAGGATGGATGGTCAAGCTGCTGTCCACAATCTAAAAAAAAAGACATTAAACAAGTTCGTAATGGAATATGGTTGTTGCGTGCACAAACAACATCTACAGATTTAATAAAAAAAAACAAAATAATACCATTGATAAAAGCTGAAATTTCAGTTGAGTCAATGTCAGGAAGAACAACACGAGTCATATTATACGGGGACTTTGAAAAATCCCCACCTGACCCCGTGGTAGTAATGTAGCTTTCAATAGAAGGAAGAGGCTGTAAATTGCCTTTCTTATCCACTATACCGAAATCTGTAATGACTGTATAATCTTCATCTTCTTGATTGGGATCTTCGTCAAAGGGAGTGACGTTGGGGGCAAGTGCAATGGCTGGGCCACAACCCTCATCCATATCAGTAAAATCAAGCCTTCTCTTGGCTGGTGGATCCCCATTATCTCTTGAAAGGATATTCAAGGGTGGGTGACGCTTCTTGTTGTTCTCAACTGGCACAATAATTTGATTATCTATCAAATTCTCTTTTGCCAACAGGTTGTCAAGTAACACAGGTTGGGATGAAGGACCGGCAACAGGGTTTGTTTCAAAGTGATCCCGCTCCTAAAAAAAAATAAGAAAGGAGTAAAATCAGTCATGAGAATAGAATTAATCTTCTTATAACCACACTAGTTCATATGATGGACAAGGGAGAAGGAAAATATACCATGGCTGTTTGACCCTGATAGTCGACCTGTACACCCAGAAGGTTGTGCAGCTCTCTCTTCCAATGATCATTATTGGTCATCTCTTTATTCATGATAGATACAAGATAATCCTGAAGATGTTCTTCAGCTACCCTCTGCACCACAGTCAAGTCACGAGAGGATAGATTTCGAGGAGCAAGACCTGGGTGTATATGATAATCACATTGTCTAGCCCCGAAACTGATAGGGTCATAGAGGTTATCTTGGCCCAAGCTGTGTAAAATGGAGTTAAATGGTTCTATGAAAGCACTGAACCATCTAACCCAAGCCAGTGAAGCACGTCCTACACGATACTCATCTGGTATGAGATGCGAGTCCTCATATATCGGGCGTAGAAGATGTCGCCAGTGAGCATATGCTATCCCAACGTCAGATTCAGTTACCAAACTAGTCAACGGAAGATGAGGAACAACTTGATCCAACCCGAACTGTCTAGCTGCACGTTCCGGGTGGTATGGCTCCAAAATGCAAAAGTGCGTCTTGTATGTAGCAATTCTCCATGGGAGCATACCACGACGAAGTGATAAATCAAATATTCTGTTGGTCCGAAGTGAGTTTGGTTGAGCTGTTAGGTCCTCGTCAAGAGGCTCGTAGGGATTCCACAAAATATTCTTATCTCTACACAGAAGCTTATGAGCACTCTTGGGACTGAAAAGAGTTGGCTTTCTGGACATAGTATCCAGCATAGTTGGCCGCACTGAAGGATACGGGCAAACAGGGATATTGACATGCTTCATTCTGTTACCAAATACCGCCGGTATGTGATCCCCTATCCAGCCAATCAGAAAAAATATATATATAAAAAAGGATGATCTATTGCGACATGAGCCTAAACTATTGGCATGAAAATAAACAAATGCCCCCATTGCATCTTCAATGCATCATGAGTTTAAACTGAATGCAACCAAAAAAAAATCCAAAGTTCTTAAAATTAAACTACAACCATGAAACAAACGTTTAAAATGTTATGTCCTCCAAGAGTTTGATATAAAGATCAATATAACGTGAGACTATACGTCATTGCTTGATAAGTATCATTTATATCATAAACCTCCATGCGAGTCAAGTGCCCCAAAGTATGTTTCCAAAAGAAAAAGTGAGATCATAAAAAAAAAAGCGAGATCATAAATAAAAAAAAAATCTCAAGTTTCAAGCTCCGGATCTGTCAACATATACAAAGTAGTTTTTAGCATCCGGACCTCGAGGGGGCATCTGTTGACACCAATTTTGGCATACCCAAAAATGTGTGAACATTTATACCATATTAAATAAAATGGTATAGATGATCAAGTTTTATATGAATATGATATAGGCAAATAAGAAATAATATAATATCGCTAAAGAGGAAAAGAAGATGGAGCGAAAAGAAAAAGGGTACACACATGTACATATATGCATGAGCGTGTTCACGCCCGGAAAGAAAATGAAACTATATATATATATATATATATATATATATATATATATATATATATATATATATATATATATATATATATATATATATATATATATATATATATGAGGTTGGCTATGAAATATAGTGCATACAAATATGCACGACAAGCAAAGGTGTATGCTCGTGTATTTCATTTGTGTAAATCAAATACCATGTACTCATGTGAATACGTGGCCGGCTGGCAAATCATCCGAAGAGCACATATGAAAATAAAATACTTTGTTGATTCACTAAAATAATCAATCATTTTCAATGTCAAAAGATGATGTGGTGATTAGTGGAAAATTACGAAGAAGAAAAGAAAGCTAGAATAAAGAAAGGAGGACATATACGCATATATGCATGAGCATGACTATACCTTGGCAAAGTATAGTGACAAAAGCACAGCTATTACATGTCATATTAAAAACGCTCGGCCGTAAATACATACACGCTTCGATACGCATGGATTAAAAAAAAGAGACCATGCAAGTACGTACGTGCGTGTACATACACAGCAAACGTATAGCACGTATGTGCACGCCGGCAAGGAGGGAGCTCCTGAACGCGCTGCACACATTCAAATTGAGTCAAGAGCTGGTCATACACAACTCCCGTGCACGTTCAACAAGCGCGCGCAAAGTTCAAACTCCAGCGCGCCGGCGTCATTAGCGAAGGGAAATCAAACTCCAGAGCGCCAGGCAGTCCAGCAACCGCTCCCGCCGCCTTAGACCTTGACGTGATTTCAAATCAGACGAACCGCTGGTTGCTTGTCTATAAGTAGCAGGCTAGTGCAAACGTTCGCCCCCCCGCTCCCCGGACCATACTGCCGTCAGGCTGCTGCGCTGCTCATATACGCTGCCAGGCTGCCGCTCTCGTCTGTCCATCAACCGCAAAGGCTGCTCGGCTGCCATCCCGGAGACCGTAGCGGCGCCTCGGAGTCCCTGAGAAGGTGAGAGGCCTCAGGGCACATCTCTGATCCTGCCTCTCATCCTGCTTCTCATCTCCGGCTGCTTCATCCACAAGCGTCATCGGCAACTCCATCGCCAAGCCTCGTCCTCTATTCTGGTATAAACAGGGCCAGTGAGGACGGTGCTCCGCACATGGGCATCATGCCCTGATAAAGGTATAAGGGCCGAATGGCCGCGCTATGCGCATGGGCTGCAAGCCCCGGTAAATGGTCGGCCAACAGTGCCACAACCGTGCTTTGCGCATAGGCGATATGCCCCGGTGAAGGTGTAAAAAGGCAGCAAACATGCCTCGGTGAAATGCGGATTGGAATGCGTTTTGGCTCCATCCCATGGCTGAAAATTGGGTCGGACATGCTTTGGCTCCACCCCGGTTATGTTCATGGCGAAAATTCGGTTGGACGTGATCTTGGCTCCAACCCGTTTAAAGGTTCATGCTACAAAATTGGTGGACACGCTCCACCTAGTTCATGGTAAATTCGGTTTGGACGCGCTTTGGCTCCATTCCTCGGGTGAAACTCATAATAAAATGGTGGACACGTTTTGGCTCCACCCGGTTGAAAATCATTGGTACAAAAAATGGATGGACGCAAATTGGCTCCACCCCAAATAAGTCTGTGTTGATCACGGCCACAGTTTTGCCGGCCTATCTGCATTTATACGGTTCATAATTTTGCATGCTATAATCACCAAGGTCTTGCATGCCAAAAGATAAAGTCTTAATTAAAACCGATAGACAAAATAACGGTGTTGTCTTGCATCCTGCACTTGTGCATCACGTCATGTCTCCTGGTTGGGCGTATGTGCTCAGCACTAATCAAGTTGCATGCTCAAAGTTTAAAACCCTTAATTAAATCAATGAACCGAGCAAAAGATGTTGCATATGTACAAGCCATAGGCTAGTTAATTAGCATCCCTCTCGCCGAAATGCAAACTAGCCTGTGCCTGCTCCGTCTTGCATGAACGGCGGCATGATCAAACCACCTATACCACATAGACAAAGCCAATTAGTGTTGCATCAAAATCATCACACGGCTATGCAGTGATAAACTCAAATAGCCACTCCCATGGTCTTGACCTAATTAAAATTAGGAAGCAGATAAGAAAACCTGCACACCGTGTCATGGTCATGCCGGGGAATCAAATATGTCTAATCATGTATTAGATGAAATTACCCCGTTTTAAATTACGGCTAGACCATATAAATAAACTTAAATAAATTGATTTCATCATGTCAAATTCTATACCATGATCGCCCATGCTAATTAACTTGCTGCGGCACCAGGGTTAGAATAACCAAAACGTCATGAGACTTAGCTAAGTCAAATAAGCATTGTCATATTTATCATAATTTACAGGCGCATCATCCATGCCCAGCGTAGGCCTTCCAAGTGCCATGCATATAATGGATAAATTAAATATTGCATCTTAGCTTGACTGTATCCATGAATGCTCATGCTTAGCCAAGTTGTTAAAAAGGGCAAACCAAATTAAATGGGATCATATAGCACCATGCATGCGAATCCCTGGCCAAACGCCATACCATGAGTGTGCATGCTAACCTTGATAAAATGAATTAATTACACGCTCCCCGGTCGAGCTAGGCGTTGCAACATGTCTTTTGAGCCTTAGCAAGGTCAAAATATGTTGTCTTAGCCTAAATAAAATATTGCACCAAATGCTGAGTGCATCCATGAACATGCATATCAAAACATGCTAAATCATGATCTTAAATGATCCAAAAAGACTATGTCAAATTTAGTCTGCAAAGTAAATTACGTGCATACATACATGACAATGCACCAAAGAAATGTGTATCACTCAAACAAATCGGTTTCTCTTAGATGACATATATGCGTGTTGCACCATATAGTGTATAAATTAAATACATGTATATCATGGTCTGCTAAGAAGCTAAACACGCTATCAACCAATCATATAAGGAATATATGTTACTCCTCGACAAATGAATTCATGTCATGTTTAATAAAATGACAATCGTTAAGTTCAAGTTTATGCCAAGCATACAAATTCGTCCATCTGCAGCTACAAGACCGAAGACTTTGTTTTCTTTTGTAGTTTGTAATAGGAAGCCATATGATGTAATCTTATTTTCCAAGTACTCATGTTGGAACTCTTAATCAGGGGTGTTCTCTTCGGAGATGTAATTAACATAATTTTTATGCAAATATAAGAATTATGGAAGTATGGACTTGCAATACCTGTTCTTTTTCTTTTGTTCCAATTAAATTTAACCAAAATCAAATTTGTCTCTGCTGACGCGGAGGCGGGTCATAGCCACCCGTTTCCCCGCCATCATCTTCCTACTAAGAGCATCGGCAACAACGTTCGCCTTCCCAGGATGATAGTGTACCTCCAAATCATAATCTTTGATCAACTCTAACCATCGACGCTGTCTCATATTAAGATCTGTCTGAGTGAAAATGTACTTTAGACTCTTGTGATCAGTATAGATGTCGCTCTTATGTCCAATAAGATAGTGCCTCCCTATCTTCAAAGCATGAACCACTGCCGCTAACTCCAAGTCATGAGTAGGATAATTTAACTCATGCTTTCTCAACTGCCGAGATGCATAAGCCACTACTCTGCCCTCTTGCATAAGAACACATCCAAGTCCCTAACGAGATGCATCACAATAGATCGAAAAGCTTTTATTCAGGTCTGGCAAAGTCAACACTGGGGCTGTAGTCAACCTCTTCTTCAACTCTTCGAAGTTAGCCTGGCACTTCTCGGACCACACAAACTTAGCATTTTTCTCCAATAAGGCTGTCATTGGCTTAGCAAGCTTAGAGAAACCTTCAATGAATCTTTCGTAGTATCCGGCTAATCCCAAGAAACTACGATGTCATCCCACATCTATTGGTGGCTTCCAATTCAGCACATCTTTCACCTTACCGGGATCTACTGCAATTCCACCGTTGGAGACAACATGACCCAGAAAAGAAACTTCCTTCAACCAAAATTCACACTTGCTTCGCTTGGCATACAACTTGTGTTCTCTGAGCTTCTGCAGCACCAACCTCAGATGTTCAGCGTGATCTTCTTCTGTTTTGGAGAATATCAATATATCATCGATGAACACCACCACAAACTTATCCAAAAACTCCATGAACACCTTGTTCATCATGTACATAAAGTAGGCAGGTGCATTGGTCAAACCAAATGACATAATAGTGTACTCATATAAATCATACCTCGTAGTAAAAGCTATCTTGGGTACATCTGTTGCACGAATCCTTAATTGATGGTAGCCAGAACGAAGATCAATCTTAGAGAAAACACAGGCACCTCTCAACTGATCAAACAAATCATCAATTCTAGGCAACGGATACTTGTTCTTGATAGTAACCTCATTGAGTGACCGATAATCAACACACATCCTCTGAGTACCATCCTTCTTGTCAACAAATATAACTGGTGCTCCCCAAGGTGACGAACTAGGACGAATAAAACCTTTCTCCTGTAACTCCGTAATTTGTTTCTTTAGTTCTTTTAATTCTTTAACCCCCATTCTATATGGACGCTTAGCTATAGGTGCAGTTCCAGGTAATAATTCAATAATAAACTCAATATCACGGTCAGGCGGCATACCTGGCAAATCATCGGGGAACACATCTGGAAATTCATCCACCACTGGGTCCTCCTTGTTGCCGCTATCATCAAGCTGGTTCACTGTGGCGGTCGGCTGTGCTTGTATGACAACATCAACACTGATTCTTTCTCCACTGGGTGCGGTCACAACAACTACCTTTTCCTTACACTGAATCACTGCTTGTTGTTTCATCATCCAATCCATACCCAGAATCACATCTATACCGGATGCTCTCAACACAATGGGGCTCACTTTAAACTCTACCCCCCTTAAGGATAGACTAGTCGGAAGACAACGATATGCAGCTTGCATACTTCCACCCGGTGAGTTTACTAACATGGGATTTTGCATGGCACATAATGGTATGCTGTGGTTTCTAACGAATGCTTGTGACATGAATGAATGCGAAGCTCCAGAATCAAAAAAAGAGCATGGCAGGGGTTGAGTTGATATTGAACGTACCGAGCATGACTTCTGGTTCCGCAAGCGCCGCCTCTCAGAGACACATGATTCACCTTCCCATAATGTGTTGGCTTACGTTTCTGCATTACATTTTCGGGGTTTCTTGATTAGGCTTCTCAGGGCAATTATAAGAGAGGTGACCTTCTTTGCCACAACGGAAACACTTGCTGGGGTGCTAGGAGCACTAGTCTTCACAGGAGTGTTGTTGGATGCTCCCTGTCGTGGTGTTTGCTGACCACTCTGCTGCTGGGGACATTGATTGGCATTTTTTCATTGGTTCGGTTTTTGCTGCATGGATCATTGACCACGATTCCATTGACTGGGTGGTTCCTGAAACCTCTGCTGGAAGCCTTGTTGAGAGTTGGCACATGGATGAGTATTGCTCCCAGAGGCTTGTCCCTGAAGCCTCCTCTTCTTGGCCTCCATCTCCTTGCGCTTGTTGTCAATAACAATAGCGCGATTCACCAGCGTCTGAAAGTTGGGGTAGGTGTTTGACATAAGCTGGAGCTGCAGACCATCATACAGACCTTTGAGAAAGCGGCGTTGCTTATCAGCATCATCAGCCACTTCATTCGGAGCATAACATGACAACTGAGCAAACTTGTCACGGTACTCAGCGATAGACATGGATCCCTGCTTCAAAGCTCTAAATTCCTCTTGCTTGAGCTCTATCAGTCCCTCTGGTATGTGATAAGATCTGAAATTCTCTTTGAACTCCTGCCAAGTGACAGGAGGAGCATTGGCAGGACACACATACTCGAATGACTCCCACCAGTCCTAAACTTCTCCCTGAAGTTGTCCCGAAGCGTACAACACCTTCTGCTGATTATCACATTGAGCTATGTTGAGCTGCCTCTCTATTGCACGAAGCCAATCATCTGCTTCCAGTGGATCAGTGGCACGAGAGAACACCGGGGGGCGGCCCTTCAAGAATTCACCACGCTTATCACGTGGGGCTCCACCACCCTGTTGATTCTGCTGATTCTGCACCAACGTTTGCA